TTCTTCCTCCCCGCACATCCGATCCCTGCTGGATGGTGGTTTCTGTTAGAGGAGGAGGATAAACATGAAGGTTGGACACGGGCCCAATGGTTTCCAAAAGTGTGGGCTATTCTTCCAAGTTCCAAAATCAGTCAGTTGATTGCACTGCCTTTTATTCATATGTTTTCACATTCACCAATGTTCCCCGTATATTCACTTGCCCAGAGATTGGAAAAAATGCTCTTGATTTTCCAGATGACTTTTCCGAGGCATGAATGGCTCTTAGTCAGGTTAAGAATCAATTCTGCTTCCTGTTGAGATCCTTCTTCTCTTCCCCCATATCTTCCTTTTCCCATTCTTCCTGACTCCTCCATTATATCACAAAAGATGTTAATCTGTCAGGAAAAGAGAAATTCCTGGTTACACAGCCATTCACCGAAGGGAGCGATGGTGGCCCCATAGCCCCACTCTGGAACCCTGGTTCTGGCATTCCCACCCCAGAGGCCTTTGCAGGGGCCAGTTGTCCAGCAGAGAAGGAATAAGGACCAATATTGGCCGAATAGAAAGCATTTTGCATGGCCTCTATTGCCGCGCCATGCGCCCTTAGATAAAGGCGTAGGTGTGTTCGATTTGGCTTGCTGGGCTCTTTCCGCCACACGCTCTCTAGCTGTCTCATATGTTCCTTCTTCAGTTCTTCATCTCTCCTCCATACATCACAAAAGATGTTGATCTGCCAGGAAAAGAGAAACCCCTGGTTGGAGCGACACAACAGGACTATTAGGATTCCCAGTCAATCCCAGTCACTCAGGCTTTATTTTTGGGGGTGGGGAGGGGGATGGCCAGCATGTTCCTGTTTTTCATTAGCCGCAGTTCTCATAGGCCCACCTAATTCCAGCGCCTCCTCCATCACTTTTTGCTGCCTTTCTTCCCTCTCCTCCATTATCCCACAAAAGATGTTAATCTGCCAGGAAAAGAGAAATTCCTGGTTACACAGCCATTCGCTGAAGAGAGGGATGGTGGCCCCATAGCCCCACTCTGGAACCCTGGTTCTGGCATTCCCACCCCAGAGGCCTTTGCAGGGGCCAGTTGTCCAGCAGAGAAGGAATAAGAACCAATACTTCCTCTAGGTCTTCCTCCTTCTCTTCCCCCATATCTTCCTTCTCCGTTTGGTGTTCTCCTCCAAGCACTGCTCTCTCCTCCATTATCCCACAAATGATGTTAATCTGCCAGGAATAGGGAAACCCCCGGATACACAGCAATTCACCGAAGGGAGCGATGGTGGCCTCCTCCTCTTCCTCTTCTGATGTTCCTCCTCCTTCTCCCCTTCCTTCTCCTCCGTTTGTTCTTCTCCTCCAAGTGCTGCTCACTCCTCCGTTATCCCACAAAAGATGTTAATCTGCCAGGAAAAGAGAAACCCCTGGTTACTAGGCCTGTGCGGTTTCGTTCGTTAATTCGTTATTTCGTTATTAATTCGTTAATTTTACCATTTCCGAAGCGATATTGAAGCATATTCCCAAACCCGGAAGGGTTTTTAAATATCGAACCAGCAGCCCCCAGAGTTTTAACGAGCCTCCGCTCGTTTCGTTAATGGGGTGGAGGCTGCTGGAGTGCTGGTGCATGGGAGCCAATCCGGCGCTCCCAAACAGTGCACCACCATGGGTCCGTGGCTGCCTGTTTTTGATTGGCCGGCGAGCCCTTTCAAAGCAGCTCCGCCCGGCCCGTTGCTTCAAGAGGGCGAGGGAGTTTGCATTGGGTTGGCTTGGCAATGGCTGCTCTAGCAACTCGGATTGGATTCATTCCTTGCTGCTGTGAGTGCTGCTTGCTTCATTTGCTGTCTCTTGCCTG